GCAGTATGCAGGGCCTTTTGTACGTGAGGCCGCGTTGACTAGCGTTCAACTTATCCCCTGAGTACCAGCGGGTATTTATTTTGCTGAGTTTACTGTGGTGGAAACGCAAGTCCACAAACTGATGCAAGAACTGAACCCTTGGAAAGCAGCTGGACCTGCTTCAACTTGCCCGAAGCTTCTGCAAGCATTGGTGATGGAACTAAATGGACCGCTGGCGGTGGTGTTTCAGAAGTCATCTGACAGCGATACATTAACTTCTGAATGCAAGAAGGCTGTCATCTGTCTTATTTTCAAACATGGCGGCAGTAGTCTGGCAGCCGATCATAGGACAGGCAGTCTGACTAGCATCGCAGTCAGACTGCTCTAAAAGCTGGTGAAAGGTTCGTTGGAAGGTCATCTGAATGGATTTAACCTACACAATAGTGCACGTTGCGGGCCCGTCAAAAATCCGCGCAAAGACGGGCCAGAAACGCTGGCAGAATGGGTGGGGGAAGCGGGGTCCAATTCCTCCCCACAACGTAGCAGTGCTCAGCCACTCCGAGGCGCGGTCCAACTGCGCAACTTTTGTCAATGACCTTTTACAAACTAGCACCTTGTCATGGAAGAAATTTTCCCTTACTTAATGACCCATAGCATTGGCTGTGATTCGCCCGTTGTTGGTCGTAAAAGAGCCTTCAGAGGACCACCTGTCTTCCTTTCCTCTTCGCCTTACTTGGGAGGCGGTCGGAGCACGTGATTTTGTGTGCGTCGTTAACTGGCCAGCGTTCGCTTCTAAGTCAGTAGCGCGCGTCTATCGTAACCCCCTCAAGTGTGCGTCCGTTCCGAAGGCTCAGCGTCTGTCCGAACACGTGCTGCTAGGATCGTGCACACGCTCGCTCAATTTCCGTCTCACCAGCTAAGTTAACGTCATCAGGTCAGCGCAACTCTGTTCGATTGGACAGCGTTACAAGTCGTCATCGTAGGCGTACTCCAACCATGCCAGCGACAATCTTAGCAGGCGTTACGCAATCATATCAAGAGGCGTCCCCTCGATCATAACAGTGCACAATAAATAAATAAATAAATAAATGGATTCCGGAAGAGTTTACGTGTCTGGCGAATTGGTTGGTCGCTCGTGAAGCTTGGGCCGAGGAAATGAACTATTTCCACGTAGTGGGCACGCATTTCCTAGACTTCTCGAAAGCATTTGATAAGGTACCCCACTTAAGGCTATCACAAAGCTGACCTCCTACGGCGTGTCTAGCCACGCCCTTCACTGGGTATCTGCGTTCTTGCGGGGAAGCGAGCGGTGTGTACACCTTGGACGCAGATTATCCTTCAGGCAGACGGTTCTTAGCAGTGTCCCACAGAGCTCCGTCCTTGGACCGATGCTGTTTTCCATATACGTAAACGATCTCCCTGGAAAGCTTTGGGTAGCATCCCTAGTGTTTGCTGATGACCTTATGCTATGGCATGTTGTAAGTGTTTTCCGTGGGTCTGAGGCCATGCAGCATGCCCTGGACAGACTATGGGACTGGTCTACTTTGTGGTTACTGTCCATTAATCAGGCTGAGTGTTCTGTCCTTTGTATAGGAGCAACTTTCCCACCAGGTACACCTATGCCTCGTCCTTTCCACGTCATTGCATTCTGGTGACAACTGGAAGAAGGCCGCTTGGAGGGGTTGCAGAATGTTGCGGTTAATACACCGTTCGTTCGGGGTCTTAACCGCGGACATAATTATGAGGCTGTTGTCCGCTATCGTTCGGCCCTATCTGGAATTTCTGCGTACAGGCTTTCCCGCCCTGCCTGGTTCGGGACGAAACGGAGCTCCAGAGGTTTTACAGAGTAGATACCAATTTTGTCGTGGGCTTACGGGGGCACCCGTAGCACGAGCGTCTTCTTAGCCTTTGTATGTATTCAGTGCACTACCGACCGCTTCGAGAAGAACTAATCCTTACTTACCGCATTTTAACAGGGTAGATTGGACAGCACCTGAGGCGGCTATTTAGCCCGGCTGGGTTGCCTTGTCTTCGCGATCATCCCATGAAGCTACACAAGCTGTGTTCTGACCAGCTCAGGGCTGAAACTCGGTTATCGCTTAGAGTTCTCGAGCGCTGGAACTAGCTTCCAGCAAGTGTAGTCAGTGAACCTAAGGTTAAGGTTTTCGAGCGTCAGCTAGATGATCTTGAGAGTCAAACCGAAACCTTCCCCTCTCCTGACCAAATCCACTCGCAAACTTGTAGTGCTTATACTGTCATTCTCTCCACTCTTTGGTGTTATCCTTCATCTAAATGACTTCCATCCCCTTTATTTTCCGGTTACTTGCTACTTCTTTCTAACTTTACGTAACCTACACAACGGAGACTGTTAGTGCAGGGAACGTAGGCAGTAATTGGTTGACCAGGGTGTGGTTCGGAGGTTTCGTTTCATATCTATCAAGACCTCACAGTATCTTAGCATTTCCCGGCTCAACGATTCGCTCAATCGGGAACACTCGAGTTGTGTTCCAATCTTTCCAGTCCATCTGAATCCGAATTTGATTCTGTATCCATTCTGTCGCCAAAGATGCCACCAGTTCAAGAAGGCGGTTGTGACCTGTGAAATGCGTGTCCTGACGTGCGTGGTTTTGCGCCCTTGGCCCGTCTGCTGTATGCACGCCTATAAGTAAAGCTTCCATGGCGCAGCGCTGTAAGTGGAAACCACAGGAACCTAGGAAGAACAGTGATGGCAGCTTGATATCGCTCAGCTTTGCTTGACTGGATTCCAGTCAACAGTCGGCTATGTGCATTTAGACTAAGAGGTTCATGTAAGGTAAGCAGGCGTCGAGATGTTAAGCGTGCCTTGTTTGTCGTTTCCGCCTATGCCCCTCCAGACTGCAGCCCGGATCCAGTTAAAGATAGCTTTTACCCACAATCACATGAACTTCTGCGTTCCTCCAAAAGGACGGATATAGTCATTCTTGTCGGGGACTTTAACGCACGGGTTGGTCGCCTTCTACCAAGCGAGCACCACATTGGGGGTAGGTTTGGTCTCGGTGGCATTCGATCAGACAATGAAGACAGATTGCTTGCTCTTTGCTCTGATCATCGCTTGTTTCTTTCGAGCACTAGTTTTCGACACTCGAGGAGACACACTGCTACCTGGCGCCCGGTTGAAGACCTTGGAAGTTATGGCTCAAATTTGATGTCAATGGCGGACGTGTGCACCGGTTTGTTGCGGTATCCCTTCTTTCTCCCCCTAAAAGAAAGAACAAACTGAAAATTTTTTCAAAAACTGTGAGTGGTAAAGTAGACAAAAAAGCACTTGTTGTTGCTCTTTTCTTATTATTCATATTGTTTTCCTATTCAGCCATGATTCCGATGGCGCAATATCTGTACCACAGATTGTGCATAATATATATAATAACTTTTCAAGCAATTAACGATTTCCGGAAGGAAATATATAACGTACACACTTACTTATTGTAAGGGAGTTCCAAAGGGATGACTTTATGAGCCAACAACCCAATTGCGTTCTTTTGAATCCCTAATAAAATGCAACGTTTTTTCGTAAAAGGCAACTTACCCGCAGCAGTGCATACATGTGTATGCCGGCTCACCATGGTATGCGGCTCAACGTTGAGGAAACCATCTGCCGCATACGTCGCAACTTATCCAAGCAACTTGCTCGGAGTTACCCGAGTCGTCATCCTCCTGCTCACACAGAGCCAAACAGCGCTATCAGCATCTTCACAAATTGGAGCCTTCGTTGTTCGCCGTGTATTTGTGCGGTGACGGGCTGAAGTTCTCATTTTCAGGGTACGGAATTTCAATTTCCGTGACATCATGCTGGTACCCGCTACATCCAGCACACGGGCTATCAAACGTGATTTCCGTTTGCAATGCCTGCGGTCCTTGGGAATGCCGTGCGGAACACCAGCCCCTGCCTCGACTAACGGGACCGCTTGGTTGACGTCAGTTTCCGGTGCATTTCTGCTGGACAAAGAACGATTGCAGATCCCCGCCCGGGTAGCGGCATCGGAGGATGACGCGTCCTGTCGTTGGAATATAGTCAGGTCCTCCTAGGATAACCGTTGTAGTTGTTCAACGTTGGATGATTGGGCGAAAACCTCCACACTACTATGAGTAGCCAGCAGCTCATGTATGCATGCGATAACGCCCATTGTGCGCTGGAACTCCTCCGTGTCGATGCTCAATACATGCGCCTCCAAGTCAACAAACTTCTCACGAGTAATGCGAATGTAGCCGGCACGGTCATTGACTCCATCACTACGGCACAGCATCTGCGCGACCGTCACCGTTCCCTCACTGTTCTCCGTAACGGCCGGCGCTGCTACACTTTCCGCTGGCAACACCCAACGCCAACCACGAAGCACCACCTCGTCGTATGCGTGTAGGCTAGCCACGTGCACAAAGTGCGCACATGGAATGCGCTATTGCCGATCGAATCAACATACACATGCGCTGCCATTCCATATAACCGCACGCTGCATGCCCAGGCGCTCCTCATCCACCAGCCAATACCCGCCGTCCGGGTTCACAATGCGGATGCGAACTCTAAGACTGTGCCGCACATACAGCTGCTGGGCGTATGACGACATTTTCCTCAAAATCACCTGCCCACTGCTTGCACGCTGCTCAACAACCTATTATGTGCCACCGTAGGATCCACTAGTTACTGAAGGCTTAGCCCAAAATCTATTGCTGGTCACGCTTCTCTCTCCTAGCGCGCCATTATCCGTCGTTCATCTTACTCGCCTCAACTTTTCTTGACAATAGCTAGACATTGTTGGCTCCATGTAGCCTACAAGGAGCCACTTCTTGACTCTCCATCCTTCATTCTCTTCTGCCGTATATCTCTCTTAAACCTCGCTCGTCTGTTGACTTCTTCATCGAAACTGTAGGTATCAAATAGTGGACAAACGTCTTAATACCATGGCTGCACCAGCCACTGATTCATTCTTTTCTAGAGCCACTATCTCCGCTTAGCTACAGCTAGTCGCCATAGCCTCCATTCAACT